AGGACAATGACTTATACCAGCACTGCACAGAACACTACTGCAAAGAATCCAGGAAGTACAACTTCAAGTTCAAAACAATGTGCTCTGAGTATAGCTTGGATATACAACAATCAACACAGAAGAAGAGAGGGCAGTTCCCCCCACCCTCCCCATTGCCAGAATGAATTATCGCTTTTTTGCAGTCATCTGTTTCCTCATGCTGATGAAGGTTTGCTTAGGAGGTTTGTCTATTGATATAGAAAACTGATGAACCCTGGAAAATTGTACAGCAGATTCATTAGTGATCACTGTAGTTGATGGCTCCTTGCGGCAAAATACACAGATGAAATAATACACATCTTCTGCTGACATTTGCTAGCTAATGCAATATCCATGAAATTACATCTAAAATCCACCAGGACTGTCTGTTCAATTTATCCTTACCCTTCCTATCAGGACCAGCTATAAAATGCACTTTACTCTCACTTTATGTAGATTTCCTATAATGTAGGGCTGTTCAAATAATATTCTTCAAGACCGTTTGTGCACATCTGCTATCCCAAAACTGTGACAAATGTATGCTTGGCTGGGCACAGCACTATGTGCTCATACCCTGATACTTGTGATGATCCTTCAACCCCTTTTCTGGAGCTGACAGTGGACAAATATACAGATAGACGCACATGCATTTTGCATTACATTTCTGTAGAGCTTATAGGTGAACTGGCCATAAGACTATTTTACAAATGCCACTTCCAGATATTAATGTGTTATCCACTGGTTACAAGGACCTTAGATTTAAATCATCCTTGTACACCTTCATATCCTCAAGATACTTTTGACTATAATGCCCATCATTCCTGATTACTGGCCACAATGGCAAGTGCAGATGGGGCTGCACCTGAATGTCAGCATTAAGTGACACTCCAACAGCATTAACACTCCAACAGATTCCTGTTCCCCATTAGATTTCTAGAGAAACCCCTGGTGCCACAGGATTTCCTTCAGGGAGCTGAAACAGTTCTCTGCTGCCTTTTTGGATCCTGCTCTGGCTCAGCCTGCATTCCTGCGACACACATGCATGTGCGCACACACACACAAACACAGAGGGAGGGAGGGAGACCTTACTCACCAGCACTCCCATTGTATGGGGCACAAATAGGACGTATATCTACACATTATCTAAGCTTTCTAATACCATCTTAGCTCCAGCTGAAATATATCACCAGAATGTTAGAAGCCATCAATTGCCCTTTGTTGAAATTTAAGTAACATTTTTTCCAAGTACTTACACCAGCAGCTCTAGTTTCAGAAATCTCTGGGCTTCTCCACATGAGGCTTTAAGTCACTACTTTACCGTGGATTCTGTGTCCAAATTCTTTGTGAGACTAAGGTCAGCTCCTTCAAACATTTTCCCCAGGCTTCTTCTTTCTCTGCCTTTCTATATGTTCCATTACACAACATTAAGTTGTGGTGCAGGAGAGCAGAATTGCAAAAATACACAAGGGTTGCATTCTGTTTCATTACAGCACTCTTAGATAATAGTACACTTTTCCAAAATATATTGAAATGGTTGCAAAAAACAGAAGAGCTCCTAGAGGATGACATCATGTAAAGTACAGACAAACAACAATTCATAAGTGTGCAATAAATGCTTTGAATAGGCATGCTGGTAAAGCAGCCTGGATTTCTCTGCTTCAAAGGAAATAGAGGTAAAATTCCAAACTCAATGTGGCCTTACAGTCCTTCATTCCTTTATTTCCCCCTATCTGCAAACACTTACATAGCAGCCTTTCCACACTTTTTCAAAGTTCAAATAATATTTTACTCAAACAAGTATCTTAAAGCTTCACAAAATAACACCCAATATCAATAAAATTCCATTCTATAAGCACTCTAATTAACCAGCTCTTAAGAGAGTACAAGTATCAAAATCAAATCAAACTGAGGTAAGACAAACTCAGAGAATTTTCATGCTAAATTGGATTGGTCATATACATAAACATAGAAACAGAGCGAGTCAGACGGGTCCTCCCAGGCCATCTAGTCTGACCCCTGACTAGATAAACCATAGACGCTCTTTTCATGACTCTCTGTTGGACCTTCTGGTCATAAAATTAACACAAATCAAGGGTTCAATAATTAACCTTTCCCGTCTCTCAAGACAACTGGGTGGCCCTTGCACTTGTACTCTCAAAGCAAAACATTGTTTTATTTGGCCTTTTCGTAAAGCCTAACAAACTGTCTAATTCTCCTGAAGATTCCAAGCAAGGGCATTAAGAAATGCAAAGCTATAATGGAGCTAATGACCAATAATTCCTATGCTGATGAGAAAGAAGGCAGGTGTCTGCATTTAGTCAAACACATAGCCTAGAAGTAATGTCCATCAGATATAAACATATCTAGTATGTATTCATTGCTTTCTTCTAACAGGATCTCATCTACCAACATATAAATGTTCTACACTACACATCAGATTAACCAATGAAGCTTTGCTGTATTGTCATCCCTAAACCTGACAGCCCTTCGGGAGGCAATGTCAAGCTGCAAAGTAAAGGGGTGTTTTATTGATTGGGATGCCTTGTCTCTTCAGTGAAAGCCCAGTTTTTGAAAACCTATTTCCTTTCTTTCATCTACATGGAATATATCAGAGGGAAAAAAGCAGTCAAGACATTTAAAAAAGCAATCACTTGACTGCTTAACTGGTAACCAGGCAAGGCATACTACGAGATGCTTCTAGATCAAATTCAGCATCTATCTGGCCAAGTAGCCCATTTGCATCACTAGCTAGGCATCAGATGCTTTGAAGCAATGGCCCTCCTTAGCCCTCACATAGTATCATTTGTGTGATATCCATAGAAAGAACATAAGCCAAGGGTGCATTGGGAACTATTCCATAAACTATTGAAAGCCTTAACCAGGTGCTGTGTAACAAGGAAAATGCATTGTGCACCTCATAAGGAAGGCTGGATTATGATCAGAGGAAGAAGTGAAAACTAGAAGATCCACCAATAATTTGAATTATGCAGATAATACCATGTTGCTGGCAGAAAGCAGCAATGAGGTAAAACTACTTCTGATGAAAGCAAATGAAGAAAGTACAAAAGCAGGATTACAGCTGAATATTAAGAAAACAAAAATCATGACTAGAGAAAATTACACCACTTTATTGTAAACAAAGAAGAAATTGAAATTGTGAAAGATTTTGCATACCTTGGCTCAATCATCAACTCAAATGGAGATTGCAACCAAGAAATTAAAAGAAGATTGAGACTTGTAAAGGCAGTAATGAAGGAACTAAAAAAGATAATCAAATGCATGGATGTTTCACTGATGTCCAAGGTCAATATGATTCATACTACTGTATTCCTGATCACTAAGCATGAGTGTGAAAGCTGGACTGTGAAGAAAGCTGACAGGAAGAAAATCCATGAAACAGGGTGCAGAAGGAGAGCTTTGGAAATACCCTGCACCAACAGAAAGAAGAACAAGTGGGTCCTAGATCAAATCAAGCTAGAGATTTTCCTAAAGGCAAAATGACAAACCAAGGCAGTTGTACGTCAAGCAGATCATGAGAAGGCAGCACTCAATGGAGAAGCCAATAATGCTAGGGGAAGTCAAAGGCAGAAGCAGAAGAGGAAGGCTAAACATGAGATGGATCAGTTCCATAAAGGAAGCCACAGCCTGTGACAGCAATCATCCTGTCAAATAATCAGTTCTCAGGACTTCTTGATTTGTGCAACATGGAATGTGGCTTGAAGCAACAAAGCACAAGCACATACACAAACAAAGAAAATGCATGGGTACATTGCAGCAGTATTTACTATGTATATGCACACACTGCAATCACCTACCAAAAGCAGTTCTGGCATTGTCATTGGTACGGGTATTACATTTAGATCCTGCTTTATCCCTTTTTCAAGGAAACCGAGACAAAAGCCAGTCGCTTGCACCCTACCAAGCGAATCTTTTGGGAAACATCTTTTGTGACCTCCCAATTTCACATGTTTTAGGTGGGACTCCAGAGGCAATGACTTGCCAGCTTCTGTGGTGACAAAAGAGTATCACACCCCTGCAACATAGCCTGATGTGAGCTCTAATACTCTATCTATTCAAGCTACATCAACCAGGGTCCAGACAGAAATAGTCTTACCACCAAAGAGGTAGGCTGTTACAGACGATCTTGTGAACCAGATAATAACTTTTGAATGAAATTACACTCGGTTTGGAATATGGCACAGCATTACAGGCTGGACTAATTCGTTTTCTGAATCAGCTAAGCAAACGTTGACAATTAGTAATTTCTAAATCACTTTCATGTGCTGTGATGCAATATATGGCATAGTTTGTGAACAGGAAATCTCCTCCCCTTTAAGTGTACATTTACTGGCATTGTAATAAATTATTGTTTAACAGGAAAAATGGCTCAGGGAAATGAACAAAAGTTCATGGGTGTGTAAGCTCAACATGTGTGTGTAAGCAATGCCTCGGCTCCAGTCAGTGTTAAGGATGATGGTGTTGAACCTATTTGCCAGAAAAAGGCATATGCTATTTATGGTTAGCAGATCAAGTGAGGAATGTGAAACAGATTTATAAATACCGTGTTCATGAAAAATGCTGCCAAAGGAAAGTAGAATGGAAAGAAAAGGTAAGAGTGATTAAAGAAGGAAAGCTAAAAGCAAATTATTATTATTACATTGGATTAAACAATTGTCTTACCCTATGAAAACTGAAACTGTTGCACATGGTAAATAGTTATGCTATTCTCCTTGGAGAGTCTTACATTTTAAAATGAAACAAATTGTTCCAATAACAGTTAAATGGGCCTGGAAAAGAGGGGGATTATACTGTGTAAGGGTGAAATATGCTAGCGTAAGAGGGGTGACATTGGTGGGGAGAGTAACTTTGAATTTATAAAGAAAAATGACCAGGGGAGAAGAAGAAAGAGGATGAGGAGAAATGGAGCAGGAAAAGCATTATTTTGTGTAAATTAAATTTAAATAAGAAAGGATGGCACTCACTCTGATCTTGTCATGCTGAGGTATTATCTTCTTGGGGCTGATGGCAATAAAAGACGTATACATGCACTAACTGCCATCCGCCTGTCTCCTCTTGGCTACTAATAATGAAGCTGCCACCCCTGCACATTTGTCATGAAGAGACAAGAGCTCTTAACAATATTGACACACACAAAATACTACGACCCATAAAAGAATGTTTCCAGAGTGATTGCCCAGAGGTGAGAACAGAGCTGAGAGAGATCTGGGAAGTGAAAATGCCGCAGACCTCTGCAGGTTGCCTCTTGACCTAGCCTTCCAGGATCCGCCAGTCCGCCTTTGAAGCTGAGCGCAGGGTGGAATGTCCTGTGCTTTGTCCTGCTGTTGTACAAGTTCCCTTCTGATCTAATGAGCTCAGCAGCAGATGTCTTCAAAGGCAAACTCACTCCAGCTTAAGAAAAGTAAATGACCTTAGCCAGGGCTCCCACAAAAGGAAGGACCTTTGCTTCTGGCTTATGTCAAATCACCATAGCACTGCACTGACACCTACACATACGTCATGCACATACACCCAATGCACAGCAAACGTTTGTTTTTGACAGATATCAAGTCTACAACTGGATACTAAATTAGTGGTAGCCTGAGGAACTGCCAGCAGTCTTAATTTTTCTCTGTGTTGAGCACCATTCAGTTCAAAGGAGGAAAGTTCAGAAAGGCAAGCCATACTGGCCAAGGAGGCCTTCCTACTGCCTATAAGGCAGAGCAGGACATGCAAACCTATAAAAGCTTTTGGGTCAGGTCTGCTTTTGGGAGGAGGGACTGCAGTTCTTCCCACTTGCCTCATCTTCCCTGCTCTCCTGCAGGAGCCTTCAGAGAAAGCTGGTATGGGAAGGAGCTGCAATGGGAAGAGAACTATCTCAGTGGCCATAAAATAAATGGTTGAATGTGCTGTCCATGAAAGCTTATTCTTAACGCATCCATTGGTCTTTTGAGGTGTAACAAGAATATTGGTTGGGTTTGGTTCAAGTTGTATTGCATGCTTAGAAGAATAGACTGTATTAGAAATCCTCACATTAAATCAAGAACATATAGATCCAGTATAAATCTGCTCTTTACTGGAACTTCTTGAATACAGAACAACAGCAAGACAAGACACAAACCCTCAGGTGGGTGCTAAGGACATGGAACCAAGTACACAGTTGTTGGTAGTCTTGCTCATATAATCATTACAATGATATGAGAATGCCCCTAACAAGAGGAAGAGTACCTGCTGTGCCTGTATTACATGTGATAGATGGGGAGGAGAGAGATTTAAAAGTGAGGCAAGCTGTGTGGGGTTTCTGGCAACTGGACTGACCATTGATGGTGGTTTTGTATAGTTATATTTTAGAAACTGTGCAGACATGTCTGCGGTATCTAAAAACTGCTGAATGGACTGTTACCAGGATTACTGAAATGTTGGTATTACATCTGACATAATTCATTGAAATGTTTATTGATATTAAATTCTTTGTTGTTTTTGTTTACCTTGTATACTCTCCATCTTGATGAACTCCATCTTCTTTGTGGAAAAGGTGGCATATAAATTCAAAGTGCATCTGGTTGAATCTAATAAACACTAACTTAACACCATTGCAGGAAAGGTGGCATATAAATGTAACAAATGAAATTCCCGTTTTTCACTATCTATGGCCATGCTTGGCTGCTTGCCATGCCTAACTCTCCTGACATCTGGTGCTTAGATCTACCCATCTGGTGGTCTGCCGTCATGCCTGTAAGTGTTCCCTCCAACATACACACATTTATACACTTTTATAAACTGCCTAATAACATGGGTTTTGTTTTTTCTATCTGTCTGAAAGCTGGCAGGTTTCAGCCTAGAGAATGTCTGAAACCAGTCATCCCAAGCACAGAAGTTACAGGTGCAACAATAAAGCACCTGGATTTGTCACCCAAATCAATGGGAAATTAAAATAACTGGGAATAATGAAACATATGTGATTTAATAAATCAATCAGCACTAATGAGAGAGACAGCAGCTTCTTCCCTGCACACATATGACTCTCCACTGGCTGCTCATTAGCTACTGAGACATGTTCAAGCTGTTATTACAGGAGTATAAGGCCCTGAATAACTCATGATCAAGTTATCTGAGAAAGCACCTATTCCTGCATAAGTGGCCCCAGTCTCACGATATCCTGGCCTACTGAGGCTCATTTGACTATGATGCAGAGGAGACTTTCTCAGGTGTTGTACCCATCATGTAGAACTTCCATTCTACTGAGGTCAGGTGTGCTCCTAAAATACATCCATAAAGTATATCATTTTTTCACCAACATTTGAGAGAGATGATGTGCCTGTATAAAATAAATGGAGTAAAAATAATAAATTAATTTCCACACTTTTTAAGTAGCTGTACCTGTGTTAGTTTTGACGAGACTGGTTCGAAACTTGATATATATGTAGGTTTCATACAGGCTTAGGTACTGCATTTCAAGTTATTCACTGAACTGGTGTCACTTCTATTAACAGTAGATGCCTGAGTCTTACCATGGCAAAACCATTTTGTCCACAAATGGTCTTTGAGCAAAGTGCTTTGTTTTCTGTCAGAAACTAGCTGAGATGAAGTCTCTGCAGTGTCCAATGCATGTGGCCAGGATAAACCTGCCTTTGCCTATCTTATTCCTGGGAAGAAAGGGGTGACCTGGATCACCTGGCCAATAGAAAAGGTCAGAGAAGATTCAAATCAGGCACTGATAAAGTAGTCCACCATTAGTCAAGGCTAATTTTATGGCTATGGGCAAAAACAGCAAAAAGTAGGACAAGCCCGGGAGAAAGTGATGTTGTTTATTGTATATGGTTGAATTGTTTTTCTAAGTCATCCAGAGACTTTAGTATTGGATGGTATATAAAAGAATTAAATAAATAAAAACAAAAATGTTTCTTATTGTCAAGCTTCACTTTTCTCTAATTTCCTACAGAAGTGAGCCCTAAATCAATTAAGGTTATGCAGGATATTTCCTAATAATTTATTTTTCCATCATAATCGCACACCATTTCTCTCCTTTCTTTTTATCTTTTACAAGGCACGCAACGTAGCTTACACAGTTGTTTTTCAATCTATTTTTATTTGCACAATTCTGTGAGGGAGGCCAGGCTGAGAGTCAGTGGCCCAAAGTCACCCAAGGCTGGGACCAAGTTTTCCCAAGTTTTCCCAGGAGCCCAGCACTCTAAGCACCAAAATGCACATGTGAATGTTAAGGATGTAATTTATAATAGCTGTAATAATGCTCACACAAGTTTTTGTGAAGGATGACTTATTTTTGCAGTCCTAACTATATTGTCACACATACCAATGAAATTGTCATCAGCAAGTAAGCTTCAAAAGCTGACAGAATTTTCATTTAAGAGGCGACTGAAAGGAAGCACAGATAAGATATTGAGGAAATGGCTTAAGGGAACATTCATCTAACAATACTATGAACAACAGATTGTTATTCTTGGATTATACCTCAAATTCCTTCATACAGTGGAGAGCTTGTTAGCACCTAGAAGTGAAGTTCTGATATTGAACTCTATTGCCTTGCCTGCCCCTTTTCTGTTTTTCTATAACGGTTGTTAAAGCAGAAGAAAAGGAAGGAAGAATGGGATTACTCTGAGAGTAAGTTTATGGCCCAGAGACAGCAACTGGAGCATCATAGGATCATTTGGATTCCCTGTTCCAAACTCAGGAAGCAGCTCTGATCTCAGAAGCTGGGGGCATATGCTCAGGGTGCCTTCCTCTGGTCACAGCAAGCATGGAAAGAACTGCACTAGCTGCATCGGCAGAGTCAAAACAGCAATCTTGGAAAACCTATTTAGGGGGCAGGAAGGGGAATGAGGCAGCAGGAGACTGGCATCCTCAAAATACAGAGCATGCTGGTGGTGCTCAGATGCCTTCCCTCCTGTCCAGAGTGCCAGAGTTAGATGGCCCAATTCACCCTGCACAGGATGTCCGTAAGCCCCCAAGTTTGGAGGGTTCTGGCCAGGGTTACTGGATTGCACCCTTTAATGGCTGTATAGAATAAGGTACTTTGAAGATGTAGCTTAATCACCCCGGTATGACAGGTGTCACCTTCAAAAATCATCTCAACAATTATTAATAATAAAGGACCACCCCAACACCTGTTCTCCTTTGCCCGTATGCCTTATTATTGAGGTTAATCCAAAACAGCATCTTTCAGTTTTAACTTAGTTTTGTTTTGTCACTTCCTTAGATTTGGAGGTTTCCTCAAGCCTGGCATCCTGTGTGTGTTTGGCATTATTTGGCTACCCTTGGAAAACTGCAATCACTATTAGTATATATGACTGAATAACAAACTACTAATGTTCCCACTAGCTTGGCCTTAGGTAGAATTAAGCAGCCCCAAACCCAGTGAAATAAATAGGATTAGCCTACAAACTCTGAACAAGATTGCCACTATAATGTATTAATAAAGTCTAGAATGTCTCAGACATGTGCAGAGTGTCTTTTGGTTTACCAATCAGCTCCTGCTCATGGATCTAAAAGATGAGAGGACAAGGCTTCCTGGTTTGAGCTTGTCTCTTCCGAGCCCAGTTTTTAGAACAGAGTAATTGGGATTATTGTGATACAATTTTAGCATATGGCTACTCTCTCAAAGAACATTTCTAAGGGGCAGCACACCTGAAAACTAAATGCTGTGAGTATACTCTATTTCCATAGTTAAATATTCCATCGTACAAAGATATTCCACAGACTACATTGTGGTACTTGATTTGAGGCTTGTTAGCCCAAGCCTTACAACATTGCTTTCTCTCTTTCTGAATATGAAAGCTGACATCTGAAAATAAACAAATGTCAAGGCTTTTGCAAAGATGTATACAGAAGAATAAGAAGGGAAAATAGGGAAAAAATTCTTTCAGTCTCTACTAGTATATTGGAAATAAGGGTAGGTAATTAGAGTATATAACACCAATTCTATACTAATTGCCCTAGTTGCTAGTGTGTTTCTAGGACTAATTTAAAGTGTCAGTGTTCATCTCCAAGATGTTAACAGTGCAATCCTTTGAGGACGCCCATAACCCTCCAAAGTATGGCATCTATGTGCTTTGTGCTGGAGAACAAGAAAAGGATACTCTTGTGATGCCAAGATATTATATATGCTGGTGGAGCCTGTCTCCTCCCATCCCTGTCTCCCACAAAACTCCATCTCTGAGCTGCAGCTATTACAGTGGAGGGAGGGTGCTCTAAGTCTGGAGTCTCAGCTCTGACCGTGGAGTGAGTTTCTGAGGTCAGGGATGGAACTCTGAATTCTCCTCTGGCTTTCTGGACAAAGTCATAGGATTGTGCCCTACGTGGTTTGGGCACAGGTCATTTGAAGGACTACCTGCACCCATCTATGGAATGCGCTCCCCAGAGAGGTCTGCCT